ATAATTATTTGTTTTGAGTTGTGTATCCCCAGCTAGACCAAAACAACTCTGCAGGGATTTTGCCCCAGTTTTGTCTAATGTATCTCTATGTGCAGCATTCGTACCAGGGCAAGTAGAGCAGACACACGGCCAGAGTTGGGGCTCTATTGGCCCCCACAGACACAGTGGAGGGCCTGAGACCAGAAGCACTCAGCATCTGAGGGTGAAGGAGAGGAGAGTCACTCCACCATGGGCTCTGGCCCAAGACCTTCAAAAGAGGGAAGGCCGGAGGGGCACCTCTGCAGCAGAGCAGGCTCAGGCCCTGTGGCACCGACCCAGCGGGCTGGCACACACATGGCAGTATCGTTAGCCTGAGCTTTCTCTCCAGCAGCCAGGGGACAAATCCAGCCTCTGGGCAGTGCCCAGCGGGTGTTGCCAACCATGACCCTGACTTCTGATTCCTCTCCCTTCCTCCTCCTTTCCCCTCTCTTCCTCTCCCACCTTTCCGTCTCCCAGCCGACCGGCTTACCCCTCTCTGCCTGTGGGTGGTTCCCCAAGATGGATGGAGCAGGTCAGGCGAGAGGTCGGAGTCCTTGCCTTTGATTGCGTCAGTTCTCGGTGGGGAAGTCAGGGGTGGGACCCTTCAACCTCCAGGCTCACATTTTTCTTTCAGGCACTTGAGTGGGAGTAGTCTGCCTTAATTCCTAGGAATTAGCCATTCTGAATTGGATGCTTAAGAAATCAGACTAAGTTTGTTCCCCACTTTGAAAACAATTATTCTATTTATTTATTTATTTATTTATTTATTTATTTATTTATTTATTTATTAGTGGGGAGTGGATGGAAGTGAGGAATTAGATCCAGATTCTTGAGGTTAGGGCACAATTCCTTTTGTGCTTTTGATTGCCCAAAGAAGCGATAACTAATATTTCCCATGAGGAGCAGCTTTGAGACCTCCTACATATATACTTGTCAACCTCTACTGCCAGTTGTTCATCCCCAGCCACAAGCGTGTCCCTGCCTGAGAGTGATAGACAATTTACAATTCTCAGCGTGGCCCCAGTGGTTTGAGAAAAGGTCAGATTCCCAAATCTCCTAGCTCTTTTATCTATTTCCTCCCTCCCCCCTAACCCAGCAGCAAGGTTTGTCCCTGGTCTTCCCCACTCCCTTCCAACCCCTCCAACCCTAACAATAATCCATCATTGTTATCTCCTTTGGTGTTTGCAAAGCACTTTACAGCCATTGTTGTGAGTTTTTCCTCTTATTTGCAAAGTACTTTACAACTATTATTACAGAGTCTTTCCTCTGAATGTGGGGTAATGCTGACCCACTTCAGAGAGAGACCTGGCTTCCCACTGTCTTCTAAGTGGTTGGTCCAGTTCCCATGAAGCCCAGCACTGGGTGGGTGAGGCTTTCATAAGTCAAGGCCATAGCTGTGCCCTTCCGAATTAGAAATAAAGCTTAGAAGCTGGCTTCAGTCTGCTGCCCAGTTGCCCTCGGGAAGTTGCACCCTGTGTGTTTCTAACAAGGAGTAAGAGGTGGTTGTTACCAAGGCTCACACTGCCAGATGTTAGTGCTGGTTTGGGGCTCTGTGGCCTCTGACTTCCCCCAGAGTGGGTGCTAAGCAGCAGGGTTTGAGCTCCTTTCTCTCCTTTCTTCAGTCTAAGGGAGGGAAAATATGTGTCAAATGTGAGAGAATAAAACAGTCTCTTCATCCATGCTGGACTGGGAGTTGCTTGAGGTGATAAAAAATTGTGTGTTTTTTTTTTCCTAAAGTCCACACAATCTAACTAGCTTAACAAAAGTTCCCTCTTGGTGGTCTTAGCTACCATCACAGTGTCTATGGCATTTTGTGTGCTGCATTTTTTTATTTAACGTGGAGTAAGCATTTTCTGCTATTATGTCTTTGTGATAATTATTTAAAATTATGTGACAATTCATTGAGTAGGTTGGATGGCAAGATTTTCTGGTAGAAAATATGGAAACGTGTGCATATTTGGAGGTGTACTGGGTTGTGGGGAGAGGTGCTGTGTCTGATGGGGTGCCTTTAGGAAGCATGGCCTTGACTTCCCTTCTACTTCCTTCCTTTGGCTGCTGTTGTAACATCTGACCTTTCGACCTGGGTCAGACTTCTGCACTTCTTACCCTAAACAAAAGGTCTCTGCCACCCAAATCCCCAGCTTCATTAAGGTGCCTTCTGAAAATGAATTGAGCAACGTTGTTACTCATTACTGGTATTCGGGCCTAATTTGCCCAACTAGGTTATTAGCATTCTGAGAGGCAGGCTCGCTCTTGGCTCCTGTGATATCTTTCGGAGTGCTTAAATAGCAGATGCTCAGTAATTATTTGCCATTGACAAATACATATTTGCCAACCTCCAATGTCTTTCATCCCCAGGCCAGTAAAATAGTTACTTGACTATGTAACCCATTCCGTGTGGCAAGTGTGGAGTTTCTAATGCAAACCCTTGCATTGCATTCTCAAGACAGTGTAAGGCCGGTAACCAGCAGAGAGACCTAGGATTGCTAGCGTGGCTCCTTTGATGAGATTCTGTCCCTGCATATGAAACAATGAGTGTGAAGAGAAAAAGGAACCTCCCCTCCAAAAAAGAGGACCGGATTATGAGATTTTTTTTTTCCTTTGGAGTCTTTTATAGATAAAAGAAAAGCTGGTTTGCTTATCTTTAAAAGAAGAGAGAGAATCTTTACCTGTGAGAATTACATACTGAAATATTTGTGAATGAAATGATAGAATGTCTGGGATTTTCTTAAGTTATACAGGACAGGGGAAAGTGGGTGGAGGTGGGTATACATGAGACAAGATTGGACACAAATTGTTGGAAGCTGATGATTAAATAAGAGTTCATTTTTATAGTGTCCACTTTTGAATACGTTTAAATTTTTCTATAATAATAAAAGTGCAGACGAAGAGCGTTGTGCTAGGTTTGGACTGGACAGATGCTCTAAAAGATGTCCCCCATCCCCAAGTGGGATTTAGAGTAGAACACAATCTTGGTTCAATTTTGAGGCTGTAGTGCCATCTAGTGTTTCCTGCAAACACCCAACAAAATGATGACACTGCAAGCACCCCTCCTTGAACTAAGGTACTTCTGTGAACTCCCCTGGCCTTCTGTGAGCAGGGCTGGCCGCTCTGGGCAAGGGCAGCACACGCCGGGATGGAGGTGGAGGTGGCCGTGATCGTGTTGGGGGTGGCTTGTTGGTTGTTGCTCAATCCATGCCTCCCCCAGGCTCGGGGAAGCAAGATGTGCACGGGAGTAGCCATTTCATGTGCCACTGTACAAGCAGGTGACCTTGCTGGAGGGTGCTCAGTGTGACCCAGGTGCAAAAATAGCCTCTCTTGTGACCGGTGTGTGCTCAGCTCCCAGCCTGAGCAAACAGCCCCTCACACCTGCACATTGTTGACTCGGTGTGTGGACACACAGCTACTTGTTTGCAGGTGCAAATGACTGTGTACCCAGAGTTGAGGGGAGGGCCCCCCACCATCCTCTTCTTTAGTCCACGTTCCCTGAGAGCAGGTAGCTGGGCCACATAACTAGCAGAATGTGTGACCTTAAAACCCAGGCCTGGGTCCTGATGGAGGAAGAGCTCTTAAAAACCTCCCCCTCGAAACATCTCCCCCTTTTACTTGAGATGAATCTACTCTTGCCTCTCGTAGCTGGACAAGAACAATCTGGACACCAGGGTAGCTATATTTACAGACAGAAAACTTGGAAAAGTTATAAACGTTTTTCAAAATACAAGGCAGTGTATATGGAGTCAGAGAGACTTCTGGAAGTTCTGAGCCAGGCTTTATGTAGATCATGGGGCTAAGAAAACTGGCCCAGCCGATTTCATCAGGGCAACTGAAATGGACAGGAGTGGAATTTATCAATTATAACATTTTATAGACTTGGAAGATAAAGGTGACAGGAGAGGGCAGGGTGTGTGAGTCCACGAGGGTGACAAATAAGGCAACTTTTCTATGGAAGTGTGATCAACTCTATCATTGCTATGATATGTACCTTTATTTTATGTACCAATAAGCAAGAAAATATGTCAAATTGTGATACAGCATGTCATACAGATATATTAAAATGAAAAAAATGAATTATAGCCTTTTTTGGGAGGACAGTTTGAAAATTTCAAAAACTTTACAAAAAATGTCCCTTTTGGCTCATTAATTCTACTTTTGGGGGAGTATCTTAAAAAATAACCAGAAATGCTAAGATTGGTGTACAAAATGAGCAGTGTTTACAAAACCAAAATCAGAAACTGGGCAATGATTCAGTAAAAGACCAATGGTAACAGTTAAAGGATGGCACATTTGCATGATGGGAGATTTATTCTACTGCACTAAAATCAGTTTATGAAGAATTTCTAATGTGGGAAAATGCTTTGGCATTAAGTGAAAAAGTAGGATCAAAATTATATAGCTTGACGTCAACCAGGCAAAAATTTATGTCTATATGTCTACAAAGTATTGGAAAGGATAGAATACAACAAAATGCTAATAACACTGGTGATCTTTGAGTTACAAGATTATGTGTGATTTATATTTTCTTTACACATTTCTGTGTTTTCTAACGTTCCCAAAGTAAATATTTATTATATGTTTATTCAAAGGGAAAAGAATCTCAATTTTGAAAGGGGGGGAAGAAAAACCCAGAAAGAAGGTCTGAGTGGAACTCAGTGTTGGGTGAGAACCTCGGGGCTCCAGCCTCTGATGGAGAGAGAAGGGGTTAAAAATCAGGCTGCTGGTTGTCACTGCCCAACTCTCTTCCTTTTCTCATGTCCAGGGAGAGCCCTGCTGTGTCTGGGATGCCCGGGAGTAAAAATGTTTACTTCCCAAAACAGTTCTCTGAGCTGATCCCCCAGGGGTCAGAGTAAGGAAGAGCAAGGTCCCCAAGGCGATCCATCCTTCACTCCTTGCAAGGAAAAGGCATTCTTTGGTCTCTAGATTCTCCAACATAAGATGAATGGGAATAAACAAAGAATGAATCCTCTGTATTATCTCTCACCCAGTAGATATGTTTGATGACTTCTCAGAAGGCAGAGAGTGTGTCAACTGTGGAGCCATGTCCACCCCACTCTGGAGGCGGGATGGGACGGGGCACTACCTATGCAATGCCTGCGGCCTCTACCACAAGATGAACGGCATCAATCGGCCTCTCATCAAACCCCAGCGCCGGCTGGTAAGCAAGTGCTTGGACCACTCAAGTCCAACAGCCTTGGGCGGGAAGGGGAGCACACTTGTCTCCTCTCAGCACCTGGCTTCAGGGCTCCCACCTTGGTGGGAAATTCTCTGGTTTTGAACTTGGGGCTTCAAGTTATCTTTAAAAGAAGGT